GTGCGTCCACTCTCACAGCCTCCGGCCGCATTAAGGCAGCTCATTTGGGTACCTTGCGTCAGTTCCTATCAACGCCATCACTGGTGCTAGCCCTGTCGCTGGGTGAGGGATGTTGTTGTGCGCAAGCACAGCAGAACTCACAGCCTCGCGCACCTCCGGACCACTCCGAACATCCGCTCCATGCAAAGCCTTCGATATTCCACGGTGACTCGACTCGTTAACACCGTTCCCTTGTGGTCGGTATGGCGCAGTCACATATAACCTGCACTTCCAGCACTTCTGAACCAGGTCAAAGAACTCTCCTTTGAATTCAGTGCCCCCGTCAACCAACACAGCTAGCGGTGCTCCGAAGTACCTATACCAACAGTCTCTAAACAACTCCGCTACTGTTGACGCTCTCTTGTCAGTTGTTACTCCAGCTACCACAAACCGAGTTGCATGATCAATGATCACTACAAGATAGTACACTTCTCCAGCCACAGCCCTCGGCCCAATCATGTCTAGTGAAACCAATTCATTGAAGCAGTCTCTGTCCAGAGTCCCCGGCGTCGACACAGCTACCGGTGCGCTAAACTATCTGGATTCGATCCACCACCGCGTCCTCCCCGACATCTTCTCGTAAGTTCGCTCTAGACAACCAGTCAGCCACCACGTTCTCGGTGCCCTTCAGGTACTCTATCTTAAAGTCGAACTGTTGTAGGAACAACGAACAACGACCACCTTGATAGCTTTCCTTTAGTAGAGTTAGCCAAATACAACAGGTTCTGGTGATCAGTCCTGATGGTAAACGGCGCAGCGCAAAAGTAATCCTGCCACCTCTCTACCGCATACAACTCCCTTTCTCGTGTATCCCACCGCTGTTGACACTCGTCCAACTTCTTGCTACCAAACCCGATTGGAACACACCCTCGGGCCTGCTTCTGCTCTAGCATGGCGCCTATCGCCCGATCACTGGCGTCCGTCGTTAGCACGAACTCTCCAATGTCTGCCGCCGCGGCTAGCAACACACACTCGGCCACCGATTTCTTGATACTCTGGAACTCCTCCTCTCGTGCCTCACTCCACACAAACTCAGTCTTCTTTTTGAGCAAATCAGTCATGCCAGCGACTCTACTCGCGAACTGTGGAATATGCCTCTTGAGGTAAGTCACAGAACCCAAGAACGACCTCAGTTCTCTTACGTTACACGGAGCTTCCACTCTCATCAGGTCCGCCACCTTCTTCGGGTCCGGCTTGATGCCTTCCTCGCTTACAATGAACCCTAACAGCTTTGCTTCCTGCTTCACGTATTCACCCTTCTTCAGCTTAAGAAACAAACCTTCCTCGCAGCACCTCCCGCGCACCTCGTCCAGACGCTCAAACAACGTATCCAAATCATCAGCGTACACGACAATATCGTCAATGTACACGTTGACATTGTTCCCTATGAGACCTTCAAAGACGCGATCCATCACCTGCTGAAACAGGATCGGCGAGTTCTTAACACCAAACGGAATCACAGT